AATGGCGGCAAATATCGTCAATCTGAGGTCAGATTCAGAAAGAGCAGACCAAAATACATAAAGACATGTAGTTTCAACAAGATTGAATAACTTTTACCTTAAAAGTATAACTGTTGAAAAATGAAAAACTTTCATGCCAGTTTGGGCGTAAATGGGTTAACGTGTTCAATCACGTCGGTTTCTAGTTTCTCACCCTTTTTCCTGTCCACGAACCAATAATGACATCAAAATAACTCAAGTTTATTTTCGGGTTCATAAACAGCGACAAAATTGCTTCGATAAAATTTACATCTCAATTAAATATTTATATTTAGGTTTAAAAAACACGCTCTATATAAACCAAGACACATTTTCCGGGTTTAAGACAGAACAGCTAGGAGCATCAAATCCGATACAGGTATCTTCTTTCAACTTTCTTCTTTTCACCGTAGACCAGTAAAGGACAAGCCGATACTGCGCTAATATCAACTGAAGATGAGTGAGGAAGTGCAAGATCTAATGGATATGAAAATAGCTGCAAATAACGATACCGAGGAAAAGATCGAAACTGAAACGAAAAAAGATTCTTCGATCTTCGACGGAGTTCGGATAATAAATGTCATCTTCTTCAGCCTGCTTCACGTCGCTGCCATATACGGGATCTACGTGGTCTTATTTCGGGCAAAGCTCGCTACGCAAATTTGGTGTGAGTATATACGGTATATCTATAGACAAAGATAAAAAAAATACAATTATCAATTTTAGTTCCCATTTTTACCACCCTGACAAGTTTTGGCGTGACGCTCGGTTCGCATCGATATTTCGCCCATAAATCGTACGAAGTCACGACTCCCGTGAAAATCGTACTACTCATAATGCAGACGATAACCGGTCAGGTAAATCGGAGACCTAGCTTAACCTACAAATAAAAATTCTTGACGTCACGAATAAGATCGAACTGACGAATGATCTTTTAGAACAGTGCATTCACGTGGGCGAGGGAACACAGGTTGCATCATAAATACAGTGATACCGATGCCGATCCCCATAACCCTACAAGAGGCTTCTTCTTCTCTCACATGGGTTGGCTCTTGACAAAGAGACACCCCTTGGTACTGCAAAAGGGAAGAACCATTGACGTATCGGACTTGGTATCCGACAAGCTGATCATGTTTCAGCACAAGTAAGTAGGTCCCTTTAAGGAAGCATGTTAATTTGTTGACTGGAAAACATTTTTTTTTTCAGGTACTACATACCACTATACGTTTTTTGGGGTGTCTTAGTACCGATTATGATACCGATTTACTTATGGGACGAAAAACCATGGATATCGTTCTTCACGGTGTACTGCTTGCGCTATGTAGTGATACTTCATTTGACTTGGAGCGTTAATTCTGTCGCCCATTTGTTTGGTAATAAACCCTATGACAAGTAAGTGTTACCAGAGTCGCTCGTATAACGGATTGATTATCAAATAGCTAATTATATTGTATCTTAGGAAAATCTATCCTGCGGAATCTGCCTTTGTGTCGTGCATAACGCTCGGCGAAGGATGGCACAATTTTCATCATGCGTTTCCATGGGACTACAGAGCCTCGGAATTTCCAGCTCCGCTAAATCTAAATACGAGGATTATCGACCTGCTGGCATATTTTGGTCTGGTTTACGATCGTAAGACGGCGTCCCAGCGAGTTGTCCATGGTCAGGTGAAAAGACACGGTGACGGCACGCATCCGATAATCGCTGAGAAAAATATTAAAGGATAAAGTAAAATCTTCGACTCTTATTCGTAATTATTGCACGGTGGCGATGATGAAATAGCCTTCATATAGAATGTCGGGCGATTAAAAATGTTATATACGTAAAGTCATCGATTACTGCGTAAATTTAGTTAATACGAGTCAAGGAGTATATTTAGTGTTTTTAAAATAGTCGTAAGGAGTCCGTTATCGTCTTTTGGATTGTTCGTTTGAAAAATCAATGTTATTCTGTGCGAGGAGTCACGAGCGCGATAGGATTTGCATACGTGAATTACATCATCCGGTCGATCTCCGTGGGACCGAAATGCGCTAAATCTAAACGGGGTCCTACGAAAGAGAATCGAAGAAAGGCCTGTGACGCCTGACTGTTTCGCTTCTTGGAAGGAGACGAAGACTGAGGCGCCTAAGAATAATATCGCGGAATACAAGACCGGATGCTGGCTCCATTTTTATTGTCCGATTCGTGCAGCGCATTGGCAAGAGACTGAATCTCGCATCTGCATTCTTTCGAAGCTGAACTTTCCCTGCGGTTTGCGAACGTAACCACCGACGACTGGTTATGATATACAAGAATAAATATGTTGTAGATTATTGATTGTGGTATTTTGAAGAAAAAAAAATTTTGTTAATTCTTCGAACACGTAGAAACTTGAGGAGCAATAAATAAAAATACTCCTAAATGCTAGGAATAAAACAACAATTTTTGTCATGATTTTAACACTTATATATTCACCCATAAAAATTCCTATGAAATCCCCGCCCCCCTCCCAAATGTCAAAAAGTATAACATTTATCACTCACGAAACGACAATGACGTCATCTGTGCCGGTGCGATATACTTCGAGTGATTCCTTCGTATTTTCGGCCAATGAGAAAGTCATTAATAACGCGTAAAAACGTCAGACGTAAAATTGTGTCAAGAATCGAAGGAAAATAATGATTATTGATTAACACGTTGAGACCCACGCCGGTCCCCGGGGACCGGTGCAAGACTTTTCGTTCGTGTTATCATTGCGCACGTGTCGGTCCTTCCGTACTTGTGCGACTGAACGTTTCATTTAGGCGGCATCGTTTTTGTTTGGTCCATGCTTTATGGAACACAATGTAATACTTAAAAACATTGATGTAATTCATTAGAAGCATCTGTCTGCACTCTGACTCGCCTGACGGCCAACTGTGGCGTGAACGGGAAGGCACCTGAATTCGGCGTGGCGCTTAACGCGTTCAATGACGTCGATTTCTAGTTTCTCACCCTTTCCCCTGTCCACGAACCAATAATGACATAGAAATAATTCATGTTTATTTTCGGATTCATAAAAGGTGACAAAATTGTTTCGATAAAATTTACATTTTAATTAAGTATTTACATTTAATTTAAATAAACGCTCTATATAAACCAAGACATAGTTTCCGGTTCTAGGACAGAATAGCTAGGAGCGTGAAATCCAATACAGGTATCTTCTTTCAACTTTCTTCTTTTCACCGTAGACCAGTAAAGGACAAGCCGATACTGCGCTAATATCAACTGAAGATGAGTGAGGAAGTGCAAGATCTAATGGATATGAAAATAGCCGCGAATAACGATACTGAAGAAAAGATCGAAACTGAAACGAAAAAAGATTCTTCGATCTTCGACGGACTTCAGATAATAAATGTCATCTACTACAGCCTGCTTCACATCGCTGCCATATACGGAGTTTACGTGGCCTTATTTCGGGCAAAGCTCGCGACTCAAATTTGGTGTAAGTATATGTAGTATTAAATAGTGTGTCCAATACAGTACCATCTATAAACGAAGATAAAAAAAATACAATTTTCAATTTTAGTACCCATTTTTGCCGCACTAATGGGTTCTGGCGTGACGCTCGGTTCGCATCGATATTTCTCCCATAAATCGTACGAAGTCACGACTCCCGTGAAAATCGTACTACTCATAATGCAGACGATGACCGGTCAGGTAAATCAGAGACCTAGCTTAACTGACAAATAAAAATTCTTGACGTCACGAATAAGATCGAACTGACGAATGATCTTTTAGAACAGTGCATTCACGTGGGCGAGGGAACACAGGTTGCATCATAAATACAGTGATACCGATGCCGATCCCCATAACGCTGCAAGAGGCTTCTTCTTCTCTCACATGGGTTGGCTCTTGACAAAGAAACACCCCTTGGTACTGCAAAAGGGAAGAACCGTTGACGTATCGGACTTGTTATCCGACAAGCTGATCATGTTTCAGCACAAGTAAGTAGGTCCCTTTAAGGAAGCATGTTAATTTGTTGACTGGAAAACATTTTTTTTTCAGGTACTACATACCACTATACGTTTTTTGGGGTGTCTTAGTACCGATTATGATACCGATTTACTTATGGGACGAAAAACCATGG